CCAGGAAAACCTCCTCTACATACCGGGCCCGAGGGAGGCACATTTGGAAGCTACAAGGCGTAGTAGAGCTTTTCCGACCTCTGCTCCAATTCTGTGGAACTCATGGCCTCCATACATTAGAGCAATGTCGGAGTTGCGACCTTTTGTAAAGGCACTCAAGACTTGGCTGTTTGGTTGTGCATTTAAGTAATCGGATCTAATTTGCCAAATAGTCACTGTTGAATGTTTTATGTTGAATGTTTTTATGTTGAGTGTTTTTATATTGAATGTTTTATATTGTGTATAAGTTTTTTAAAATTGTAAGTCGCTCGGAGCACCTTGGTGGAGAGCGACTAATTAAGAAATAAAGTGATGATGATGATGTCCCTGCAAGCTAGAGCTAACAGAGGGGAGCTCATCCCACCTCGCTGATTTGAACCAGCAACCTTCAGGTCAGAAACTCACCCTTCAGGTCAGCAGTCCAGCCCGCACAAGGGTTTGATCCATTGTGCCACCACGGTTCATTTTTACCATTTTTATGATATAACCAATGAGGAAATGATGACAACAACCCAGAAACAAAACCCGTGTCACATAGTGTTAGTGGTATTATTGAAAATGTGGTCAAAGGCTGTTAAAAACAGTTAAAACAACATAAAAAGGTAAACACAGCCCAGAAGTTTCCAAATACAACCACAAATTGCATGTAGTGCCCTGTCCCAATGCAAAGGGAAACGCAAGAGCACGTAAAGGGCTGCAAACCAGGACTAGAGAAAAAGGAAGAAGGGCTTGCTTCCTTGGAACCTGGTTCTGAACTGCATTAAAGTGTCAGTGTGGATGGGTTCGGTGCCAAAGTTATGATGAGATGCAAGGCCTGGTTGGGATGGGAGGGACTTTCCTGAAAGGAGGCTTAAAAGGGGGCTTTGCAATGCTTTGGAGACCCCCCCCCCCCCCAATCATCCCCTTTGGTTAGATCTCCAATCAGAAAATAAGGATCAGGTCAAGGAGTCTCTCTCTTACTGGTGTGTTTTGGGGGCAAGAGACCCGTCTTCCACATTTGTATGAATCAGAAAGGTATCCTTAGCTGTCCTTGCTCTGAGTTGCTGTGAATTTTTCGGGTTGCGTGGCCATGTTCTCACCATGGTTAGTTGGGATGGAAATCAATCAATCAATCAATCAATCAATCAATCAATCAATCAATGGGGATTGCAAGCCCATTCTTGCCCCAGTTTGTCACCGGGTTGCTGTGAATTTTCAGTATGTTTCCAAAATGGCAAAAATGTTCCAGCAGCATTCTCTCCTGACATTTCGCCTACATTTGTATCTAATGGCATCTTCATTTCTGTCGCCAATGAAGCAAGTGGAGCGTGTGTGTGTCAGGAGTCAATTTGTCAACATCAGAAATTCCCTCCATGACATCCTGACTGAATCATCTTGGCTGAATCAATTCTCTCTCTGTGACATTTTGAAGCCAGCAGAGGGCACTGGAAACCTTGTATTGGCACTTATGAAGCAACAAGTTCTAATAAGGAAACTGAGAAGAGGGGGAGATGGGCAGGAAAGGTGTCTAAAAGGAAGTGGTGGTGGGAACAAGTCAGTAGTGTCTTTCTTTGCTGCAGAGACACAAGCAATATATCCATTTCAAAGCAAAACCGGCTTGTGAGTGGTTATTTGATATTGCTATATAGATCCTACAGTCTTACAGTGTGAATGTGTATGTATGTATGTGTATACACACACACACACATATATGAATGAATTTTTTGGGCTGTATGACCATGTTCTCCTCTTGGGTTGATGGGATGGAAATCAGCCAATCGATCAATCAATCAATGGGGATTGCAAGCCCATTCTTACCCCATTTTGTCACTGGGTTGCTGTGAATTTTCAGTATGTTTTCAAAATGGCAAAAATGTTCAAGCACCATTCTCTCCTGACATTTCACCTACATTTGTGTCTAGCGGCATTTTCAGCGGTTCTGTTGGCAATGAAGCAAATGGAGTTTGTGTGTGTGACTGTATGTATGTGTGTGTGTGTATACACACACAAACACACACATATATAGATGAATTTTTTGGGCTGTATGGCCATGTTCTCATCTTGGGTCGATGGGATGGAAATAAGCCAATCGATCAATCAATCAATGGGGATTGCAAGCCCATTCTTACCCCATTTTGTCACTGGGTTGCTGTGAATTTTCAGGATGTTTTCAAAATGGCAAAAATGTTTAAGCAGCATTCTCTCCTGACATTTCACCTACATTTGTGTCTAGCGGCATTTTCAGAGGTTCTGTTGTCAATGAAGCAAGTGGAGTGTGTGTATATTTATTAATAATAATAAGGATTATTATTATTATTATTATTATTATTATTTGTATATGTATACACACACCCACCTGTGGAATAATGCCCAGGGTGGGAGAAAGAACCCGTGTCTGTTTGAAAAAGTGTTGGCATTAGCCAGCTTGAATAGCATTGAGCAGCCACCAATGAACACCACCCAAACAGAGGGTGCCTCCAGGCAACAAGAGCCAGGCTAGGCTACTTCTATGCAGATACCCTTGCTGATGGGCTTTGCAACCTTCATGGCTACTCAATGCTTTCAAGTTTGCTAACTGCAACATTCACACTTGCTGTAAACAGACAAGGGTCCTTGCTCTCTTCTAAGTGCAGGAAGGGGTGGACTAGGTGGCCTTTAGGATCCCCTGGATCCTCCTCCAGAGAGAAGACACGCTTTTGCTCCCTTTGCAGGGTCCCAAGCCCAAGGCACTCTTCAAAAGAGGGCCTCCATCACCCACTCCCACCTCTTGATCCACTTTCATGGAGTCGAGAGGAACCCCCGAGGCCATCTAGTCCACCCATCTACTAAAGCAAGATGGAGGAGATAGAAGTCCTGGCCTATTACTATGGCCCCAAAAGGTGAGTCGTTTACGCATTGCATGTGCTTCTGAAGGTGCCCCCAACCCACCTTAATGCTGGACCCATAAACCCATGCAAAGGGGAGTTTATTATGGGATGTGGGCCTTGTTTTGAGGGGGAGGTCGAGGGAAACCCGCCTCCCATAGTGAGCGTGGTCTTCACTGGGGTCTTCCTCCAACTGGAAAGATTGCTGTGAATTTTCAGGATGTTTTCAAAATGGCAAAAATGTTTGAGCAGCATTCTCTCCTGACATTTCACCTACATTTGCAGCTAATCGCATTTTCAGAGGTTTTGCTGGCAATGACGCAAGTGGAGTGTGTGTGTGTGTATTATTATTATTACTATTATTATTATAACATACATATATATTATTATTATTATATGTGTGTGTATATATATATAATATGTGTGTGTGTGTGTATATATATATTTTATTTATTTATTATTTAAACTTCTATGCGGCCACTCCCTTCCCTGGGGCTCGGAGCGGCTTACAAGAATAGCTAAAATCTAACAAAGTTTAAAAGCAATTTAAAACAATTTAAAACAACAGTATCAAACATTAAAAGCCTGTCGGAACAGGTATGTCTTACATGCCCTGCGGAAAGCTGGTAAGTCCCGCAGGGCACGACTTCAGGTGGCAGAGCATTCCAGACTGATGGCGCCACTGCTGTGAAGGCTCTGCGCCTGGTTGCCGCTAGACGCAAGGTCTTGACACTGGGGACTTCCAATAGATCTTGGTCCTCAGAGCGGAGGGATCTCTGGGGTTGGTAGGGGGTGAGACGATCCCTCAGATACATTGGCCCCAGACCATGCAAGGCCTTAAAGGTGAGTACCATCACTTTGAAAGTGATCCGGTGCTCAATTGGTAACCAATGCAGCTGTAGTAAGATTGGTGTTATGTGGCATCTCATCGGAATTCTCGCAAGAAGCCGAGCAGCTGCGTTTTGTACCAACTTGAGCTTCCGAATCACCGACAGAGGGAGGCCAATGTAGAGGGCGTTACAGTAGTCCAGTCTTGAGATGACCGTGGCCTGGATCACCGTAGCCAGGTCGTCCCTGGACAGGGAGGGGGCCAGCCGTCTAGCCTGCCGCAGGTGAAAGAAGGCGGTTCTGCTCATGGCGGAGAGAGACCTGGGCCTCCATCCTCAGCAGAGGGTCCAAAAGGACTCCCAGACTCTTGACCAATGATGACGGGCGTAGCGCCTCGCCATCCAGGGTAGGCAGCTGGATATCCCCACTGCCCGGTCGACCCAGCCATAGGATCTCCGTCTTTGCTGGATTCACCCTCAACCTGCTGGCACGCAGCCATCCGGTAACGGCCTCGAGGCACTGATGGAAACAATCGGGTACAGAGTCCGGTTGGCCTTCCATCTTCAGCACCAGCTGAGTGTCATCGGCGTACTGGTAACACTCAAGCCCAAAACCTCGAACCAGCTGAGCAAGTGGTCGCATATAGATGTTAAACAAGAGAGGGGAGAGAATGGCCCCCTGAGGAGGAACCCCACAAGAGAGAGAGGGGGGGACCTCTCAGAGACCAGGCCTCCCCTCTCCACTCGCTGTCCACGGTTGTGAAGGAAGGAGGGGAGCCAGTTCAAGCTCTCCCCCTGACTCCAGCAACAGCAAGGCGGTGGGTCAAGAGATTGTGGTCGACTGTGTCCAATGCTGCTGTGAGATCCAAGAACACAAGCAGCGCTGACCCGCCCTGGTCCAGCTGGCATCGAAGGTGATCCGTGATGGAGACCAGCACAGTCTCTGTCCCGTGCCTCACACGGAAGCCAGATTGGAAGGGATCTAGTCCGGCTGTGTTGTCTAGGAATTGCTGCAACTGCTCCGCTGCTGCCCTCTCAATCACCTTGCCCAGGAACGAGAGATTTGAAACTGGGCGGTAACTGGAGGGAACCGAGGGATCTAAATCTGGTTTCTTCAGCAAAGGAGAGACCACCGCCTCTTTTAAACCCTCTGGAAAAACTCCTTGCTCAAGGGAGCTGTTTATGATCTTCAACAGAGGGTCATGTAATCCCTCCATATACATACACACACACACACACACACACATATATACACACACACACACACACATATATATATATGTATATATGAATGGATATTTTGGGCTGTATGGCCATGTTCTCACCATGGGTCATTAGGATGGAAATAAATTGGGATGGAAATAAGCCAACCTTTCACAGAATCGAAGAGATGGAAGAGCCCATTAGAGGCCATTTAGTCCAACCCCCTTTTGCCTTTGTGAAGGAAAAGCACAATGCAATCCCTCCCGACAGATGACCATCCAGCCTCTGTTTAGAAATGTTTGTTTGAGAGTCCAATGCAGTGAGTTCCTTTAATGTCAAATATAGGCGCCCTTCCTCCCTTCCTTCCTTTCCTTCTTTCCGGCCATTGGCTACTACAGCTTTGCTCGGACCGCCGGCGGCCCCAGGTCAAGGTCCCGGAGGAAGGCGTCCAGGGCCCGGCTGTAGTCCTGCGGGTAAAGGCGCAGGTGGCCGGCGTGGCGGGAGACGAGCCACTCCTGCACTCGGACCGCGATGCCGGCCGCCCGCCAGGAGTCCAGCAGCTGGCCCATGACCCGGGGGTCACTCAGGGGGTCGTTGTGGCAGAAGAAGACGAGCGCCGGGCAGTGGAGGGGCGGGCGGTGGAAGACCTCCAGCGCCGCCTGGAAGTAGGAGACCGTGCAGCGGCTGAACAGGCGGAAGTAGAGCAGCGTCCCGCGCCGGAGCAGCGGCTGGAGGGTCGGAGAGGCAGTGGTCATCTGGGACACTCCTGAGGTGGAAGGAAAGGGACAGCGGTCAGGCCAAAGTCGGAGAATCTTTGGAAGAGAGCCCCACAAGGGCATCCAGTCCAACCCCCTTCTGCCAGGAAGGAAATGGAGCAAACTGACCGAATGCTGGGCAACACCGACCCTTATGCATCACCATCAACATTCATTATTATTATTATTAATTATTATTATTATTTATGCTCCTTGCTGGGCAACACAGGCTAGGGTAGCCCCTCTTTCCCCCAGCCCCCCCCCCCCCCCGCTGCTTTAAACTGACCCCTGGCCATGTCCTCCAGGTCGCCGGCCACCAGGCTGTCATAGACCAGTCCGCGGATGCGCTGCTTGACCGCTTGGTGGTCCTGGGGTGCGTCTTGGAGGCGCACCATCATCTGTGCGAAGACGTACCCCCCGATGGAAAAGGCGTGGACGAGGAGGGGGTGTTCCCCCAGAGGCCCCCCTTCCCGCAGGAGCCCCAGCAGCCGCCCGGCATAGTCCAGCCCCCACCGCGGCCACAGGAAGTGCCCCACGCGGCTCTCGGCCACCAGCACCGGCCAGCGGCGCCCCGACAGGTAGAGGGACAGGTACTTGGCCACCGCTCGTGGGGGGGCCCCAAACCAGGGCAGCAGCAGCACCAGCGGGGCCGGAGAGCGGCCGGAGGAGTCCGAGGGGGGGCGGTAGAGGCGGACCGTGGCCGAGAGCCTCGTCACAGAGACACCGGGGCCAAGGTCCAGCGAGGGGTCCAGACACGAGATTGGCCTCTCCTCCTCCGCCGCCTCCTTTTCCTTCTCTGTGTCCTCTTTGGGGTCAGCCTGGCCCTCTGCAAGGGGCATTCCGGACAGAGACCCCGTTGACACCCGCCTTGGGAGAAGAGGCAGCAGCCCTGCAAAAGAGGTCAAGAAGGGTTGGGAGTAAAGCCATCTTACACACCTTTCTGGAGAGACACTTCTAGTTTGTCCCTGCTTGCCATTCCAAAGTTTATTGCTCCTGATTTGAATATGCATGTAAGTTAAGTTAAATTCAACACCGCCTGAGCTCTGCGAGTGCAGCATTTTTCTGAATGAAGCAGAGAGTTTTTGAGGACCAGAACATCCATAGGGAAACCAAGGGGCTTGTTGATAAACCTATTCCCTTCCCAATCCTGCCATACGCCTGCGAAACATGGACTGTCTACAGACGTCAACATTGACACTGAAATACAACACTGCCTGAGCTCTGTGAGTGCAGCATTTTTCTGAATGAAGCAGAGTGTTTGAGGACCAGGACATCCCTAGGGAGATCAAGGGGCTTGTTGATAAAGCTATTGCCCTCCCAAGCCTGCTTTACGCCTGTGAGACGTGGACTGTCTATAGACGTCAACATTGACACTGAAATACAACACCGCCTGAGCTCTGCGAGTGCAGCTTTTTTCTGAATGAAGCAGAGAGTGTTTGAGGACAGGGACATCCATAGAGAGACCAAGGGGCTTGTTGATAAAGCTATTGTTCTCCCAACCCTGCTGTACGCCTGCGAGACTTGGACTATCTACAGACGTCAACATTGACGCTGAAATACAACACAGCCTGAGCTCTGTGAGTGCAGCATTTTTCTGAATGAAGCAGAGAGTGTTTGGGGACTGGGACATCCGTAGGAATACCATGGTGCTTGTTTATAAAGCTATTGTCCTCCCAACCCTGCTATACGCCTGCGAGACATGGACTGTCTACAGATGTAAACATTGGCACTGAAACTCAACACCGCCTGAGTTCTGTGAATGCAGCATTCTTCCGAATGAAGCAGAGAGTGTTTGAGGACCAGGACATCCATAGGGATACTAAGGGGCTTGTTGATAAAGCTATTGTACTCTCAATCCTGTTATATGCCTGTGAAACGTGGACTGTCTACAGACGTCACATGCAACTCCTGGAACGATTCCATCAGCGCTGCCTCCGGAAAATCCTGCAAATCTCTTGAGAACACAAGTGGGGAAATGTCAGCGTGCTGGAAGAAGCAAAGACCACCAGCACTGAAGCGATGGTCCTCCGCCATCAACTCTGCTGGACCGGTCACGTTGTCCGGATGCCTGACCACCGTCTCCCAAAGTAGTTGCTCTACTCCGAACTCAAGAAGGGAAAACAGAATGTTGGAGGACAGGAAAAGAGATTTAAAAATGGGCTCAAAGGCAACCTCAAAAACTCTGGCATAGACACTGAGAACTGGGAAGCCCTGGCCCTTGAGCGCTCCAGCTGGAGGTCAGCTGTGACCAGCAGTGCTGCAGAATTTGAAGAGGGTGAAAGAGAGAAATGTGCCAAGAGGAAGGTGCGTCAAGCCCACCCCGACCGGGACCGCCTTCCATCTGGAAACCGATGCCCTCACTGCGGGAGAAGATGCAGAGCAAGAATAGGACTCACCTACGGACCCACCACCAGGATGCTTCACTTGGAGGACCATCATCCTCAGACTACGAAGGATTGCCTAAGTAACTCAGCTATGTTTCTTTCAGCCGTATTGTTTTTATATTGCTTTCAATTGTGTTATATGTTTTATCTGATGTTTTAATTGGTTACAGTGTTTGTGTATTTTTTGAGTTTATTTCAACTGTTTCGTATTGATTTATTGTTATTGCTTTTGTTTATTGATGTGTTGTGGGCTTGGCCTCATGTAAGCCGCACCGAGTCCCTTGGGGAGATGGTAGCGAGGTACCAATAAAGTATTATTATTATTATTATTATTCGTGTGTTTTAATTGTAACCTTGGGCATGCCCCTTGTAAGCTGCCCCAAGTCCCCTTGGGGAGATAATTGGCGGAGTATAAAAATAAAGTTGCTATTATTATTATTATTATTGTTGTTGTTGTTGTTGTTGTTGTTGTTATTACTCGTGTGTTTTAATTGTAACCTTGGGCATGCCCCTTGTAAGCTGCCCCAAGTCCCCTTGGGGAGATGATTGGCGGAGTATAAAAATAAAGTTGCTATTATTATTAGTATTGGTTTTATCTGATGTTTTAATTGTAGTGTTTGCTTGCTGTGTTTTAATTGTAATTCTTGGGCTTGTCCCTTGTAAGTCGCCCCGAGTCCCCTAGGGGAGATGGTTGGCGGGGTATAAAAATAAAATTAATTATTATTATTATTGTTGTTGTTGTTGTTGTTGTTATTATTACTCGTGTGTTTTAATTGTAATCTTGGGCTTCTCCCTTGTAAGCTGCCCCAAGTCCCCTAAGGGAGATGATTGGCGGAGTATAAAAATAAAGTTGCTATTATTATTATTATTGTTGTTGTTGTTGTTGTTGTTGTTGTTGTTGTTATTACTCGTGTGTTTTAATTGTAACCTTGGGCATGCCCCTTGTAAGCTGCCCCAAGTCCCCTTGGGGAGATAATTGGCGGAGTATAAAAATAAAGTTGCTATTATTATTATTATTATTGTTGTTGTTGTTGTTGTTGTTGTTGTTATTACTCGTGTGTTTTAATTGTAATCTTGGGCTTGTCCCTTGTAAGCTGCCCCAAGTCCCCTTGGGGAGATAATTGGCGGAGTATAAAAATAAAGTTGCTATTATTATTATTATTATTATTATTATTATTGTTGTTGTTGTTGTTGTTGTTGTTGTTGTTATTACTCGTGTGTTTTAATTGTAACCTTGGGCATGCCCCTTGTAAGCTGCCCCAAGTCCCCTTGGGGAGATAATTGGCGGAGTATAAAAATAAAGTTGCTATTATTATTATTATTATTATTATTGTTGTTGTTGTTGTTGTTGTTGTTGTTATTACTCGTGTGTTTTAATTGTAACCTTGGGCATGCCCCTTGTAAGCTGCCCCAAGTCCCCTTGGGGAGATAATTGGCAGAGTATAAAAATAAAGTTGCTATTATTATTATTATTATTATTGTTGTTGTTGTTGTTGTTGTTGTTATTACTCGTGTGTTTTAATTGTAACCTTGGGCATGCCCCTTGTAAGCTGCCCCAAGTCCCCTTGGGGAGATAATTGGCGGAGTATAAAAATAAAGTTGCTATTATTATTATTATTATTATTGTTGTTGTTGTTGTTGTTGTTGTTATTACTCGTGTGTTTTAATTGTAACCTTGGGCATGCCCCTTGTAAGCTGCCCCAAGTCCCCTTGGGGAGATAATTGGCAGAGTATAAAAATAAAGTTGCTATTATTATTATTATTATTATTATTGTTGTTGTTGTTGTTGTTGTTGTTGTTATTACTCGTGTGTTTTAATTGTAACCTTGGGCATGCCCCTTGTAAGCTGCCCCAAGTCCCCTTGGGGAGATAATTGGCGGAGTATAAAAATAAAGTTGCTATTATTATTATTATTATTATTATTATTGTTGTTGTTGTTGTTGTTGTTGTTGTTATTACTCGTGTGTTTTAATTGTAACCTTGGGCATGCCCCTTGTAAGCTGCCCCAAGTCCCCTTGGGGAGATAATTGGCGGAGTATAAAAATAAAGTTGCTATTATTATTATTATTATTATTGTTGTTGTTGTTGTTGTTGTTGTTATTACTCGTGTGTTTTAATTGTAACCTTGGGCATGCCCCTTGTAAGCTGCCCCAAGTCCCCTTGGGGAGATAATTGGCAGAGTATAAAAATAAAGTTGCTATTATTATTATTATTATTATTGTTGTTGTTGTTGTTGTTGTTGTTATTATTACTCGTGTGTTTTAACTGTAATCTTGGGCTTGTCCCTTGTAAGCTGCCCCAAGTCCCCTAAGGGAGATGGTTGGCGGAGTATAAAAATAAAATTGTTGTTGTTGTTATTATTATTATTATTATTATTGTCCCCACCAGCTGCACTTGCAATAAAGGCTGAACATTAGGAAGAACTTCCTGACTGTGAGAGCCGTTCAGCAGTGGAACTCTCTGCCCCGGAGTGTGGTGGAGGATCCTTCTTTGGAAGCTTTTAAGCAGAGGCTGGATGGCCATCTGTCAGGGGTGATTTGAATGCAATATTCCTGCTTCTTGGCAGAATGGGGTTGGACTGGATGGCCCATGAGGTCTCTTCCAACTCTGATTCTAGGTCAGAGGCTGGATGGCCATCTGTCAGGGGTGATTTGAATGCAATATTCCTGCTTCTTGGCAGAATGGGGTTGGACTGGATGATGGCCCAGGAGGTCTCTTCCAACTCTTTGATTCTATGATTCTATGAGGCTGGACTCAGAGCGAGGCTTCCCTGGACGATCTTCCCACGTAAGGACGGCACCGTTAAACAGGCAATAACACTTTCCAACCAGGAAGAGAATCCCCAGCCTTGACCCTGGCAATTGATTGTGAGGCGGAGGCCACGGTCTCCTGTGAGTGGACAGCTCCCCCCTAAGACCCCTGACCCCCACCAGCCTCCTCCAAAAGGCCTACCAGGTTTGGGCTGGAGCCGCGTGGATGCACCCAAGAGCAGCTTCACCAGCATCTCCAGCCGACTCTCCCCATCGGGAGGCTCTTACAACAGCCCTGCAAGGAAGGACAGAGACACACATAGATTTGGCTCAGGTTACACTTCAAAACTGTCCCTGTTCCGACTTACATACGAATTCAACTTAAGAGCACACCTACAGAAATAAATAATAATAATTGTCGAAGGCTTTCATGGCCGGAATTACTGGGTTGTTGTAGGTTTTTTTGGGCTATATGGCCATGGTCTAGGCATTTCCTGACGTTTTGCCTGCATCTATGGCAAGCATCCTCAGAGGTAGTGAGGTCTGTTGGAACTAGGAAAATGGGTTTATATATCTGTGGAATGACCCCGGTGGGACAAAGGACTCTTGTCTGCTGGAGCTAGGTGTGAATGTTTCAACTGACCACCTTGATTAGCATATGATGGCCTGGCAGTGCCTGGGGCAATCTTTTGTTGAGAGGTGATTAGATGAGTATTGTCGAAGGTTTCATGGCCAGAATCACTGGTTGTTGTAGGTTTTTTCGGGCTATATGGCCATGTCTAGAGGCATTCTCTCCTGACGTTTCGCCTGCATCTATGGCAAGCATCCTCAGAGGTAGTGAGGTCTGTTGGAACTAGGAAAAAGGGTTTATATATCTGTGGAATGACCAGGGTGGGACAAAGAACTCTTGTCTGCTGGAGCTAGGTGTGAATGTTTCAGCTGACCACCTTGATTAGCATATAATGGCCTAACAGTGCCTAGAGAATCTTTTGTTGAGAGGTGATTAGATGAGTATTGTTGAAGGCTTTCATGGCCAGAATCACTGGATTGTTGTAGGTGTTTTCAGGCTATATGGCCATGTTCTAGAGGCATTTTCTCCTGACGTTTCGCCTGCATCTATGGCAAGCATCCTCAGAGGTAGTGAGATCTGCTGGAACTAGGAAAAAGGGTTTATATATCTGTGGAATGACCAGGGTGGGACAAAGGACTCTTGTCTGCTGGAGCTAGGTGTGAATGTTTCAACTGACCACCTGATTAGCATACAATGGCCTGACTGTGCCTGGAGCAAACTTTTTTTTGAGAGGTGATTAGATGTCCTTGTTTGTTTTCATGGCCAGAATCACTGGAGTGTTGTAGGTTTTCAGGGCTATATGGCCATGTTCTAGAGTATTCTCCTAACGTTTCGCCTGCATCTATGGCAAGCATCCTCAGAGGTAGTGAGGTCTGTTGGAACTAGGAAAAAGGGTTTATATATCTGTGGAATGACCAGGGTGGGACAAAGGACTCTTGTCTGCTGGAGCTAGGTGTGAATGTTTCAGCTGACCACCTTGATTAGCATATAATGGCCTAACAGTGCCTAGAGAATCTTTTGTTGAGAGGTGATTAGATGAGTATTGTTGAAGGCTTTCATGGCCAGAATCACTGGATTGTTGTAGGTGTTTTCAGGCTATATGGCCATGTTCTAGAGGCATTTTCTCCTGACGTTTCGCCTGCATCTATGGCAAGCATCCTCAGAGGTAGTGAGATCTGCTGGAACTAGGAAAAAGGGTTTATATATCTGTGGAATGGCAGGGTGGGACAAAGGACTTTTGTCTGCTGGAGCTAGGTGTGAATGTTTCAACTGACCACCTTGATTAGCATATAATGGCCTGACAGTGCCTAGAGCAAACTTTTGTTGAGAGGTGATTAGATGTCCTTGTTTGAAGGCTTTCATGGCCGAATCACTGGGTTGTTGTAGGTTTTTTCGGGCTATATGGCCATGTCTAGAGGCATTCTCTCCTGACGTTTCGCCTGCATCTATGGCAAGCCTCCTCAGAGGTAGTGAGGTCTGTTGGAACTAGGAAAAAGGGTTTATATATCTGTGGAATGACCAGGGTGGGACAAAGGACTCTTGTCTGCTGGAGCTAGGTGTGAATGTTTCAGCTGACCACCTTGATTAGCATATAATGGCCTAACAGTGCCTAGAGAATCTTTTGTTGAGAGGTGATTAGATGAGTATTGTTGAAGGCTTTCATGGCCAGAATCACTGGATTGTTGTAGGTGTTTTCAGGCTATATGGCCATGTTCTAGAGGCATTTTCTCCTGACGTTTCGCCTGCATCTATGGCAAGCATCCTCAGAGGTAGTGAGATCTGTTGGAACTAGGAAAAAGGGTTTATATATCTGTGGAATGACCAGGGTGGGACTCTTGTCTGCTGGAGCTAGGTGTGAATGTTTCAACTGACCACCTTGATTAGCATTTGATGGCCTGGCAGTGCCTGGAGCAATGTTTTGTTGAGAGGTGATTAGATGTCCCAAATTGTTTCCTCTCTTTTGTTGTGCTGTTCTAATTTTAGAGTTTTTAAATACTGGTAGCCAGATTTTGTTCATTTTCATGGTTTCCTCCTTTCTGTTGAAATTGTCCACATGCTTCTTGTGGATTTCAATGGCTTCTCTGTGTAGTCTGACATGGTGGTTGTGAGAGTGGTCCAGCATTTCTGTGTTCTCAAATAATATGTTGTGTCCAGGTTGGTTCCTCAGGTGCTCTGCTATGGCTGACTTCTCTGGTTGAAGGAAGAGACCATGAAAATGAACAAAATCTGGCTACCAGTATTAAAAATACTCTAAAATTACTACAGCAAAACAGCAGAGAGGAAACAACCAGGCACAATCACCTCTCAACAAAAGATTGCCCCAGGCACTGTCAGGCCATCAAATGCTAATCAAGGTGGTCAGTTGAAACATTCACACCTAGATCCAGCAGACAAGAGTCCTTTGTCCCACCCTGGTCATTCCACAGATATATAAACCCATTTTCCTAGTTCCAACAGACCTTACTACCTCTGAGGATGCTTGCCATAGATGCAGGCGAAACGTCAGGAGAGAATGCCTCTAGAACATGGCCATAGAGCTCAAAAAAACCTACAACAACCCAACATAAAAACATCTTAAAACAAGACAGTTTAAATAGATTAGAAACAAAACAAAGTAAACTTCAAGGAGCCTCTTGGCTTTGGTCCCATCCACATTACCATACCATGCAGTTGCATAAGGCACACACACAACGAACACTAAAGCAATGCAAACAACCCAAAGGGCAATCAAGGACACCGTCAGGTTGGAAACAGCTCTGCACGATGAACGGTTTTCAAGCACTGAAATCTTTGCACTGTGGCCATGCATCAAGGATTGTGCCTTGTGCAGCGTGGACCATTTGTGTGCATTGTCACAGCTTAGATCCACTTTGAGTCTCGTTTAAGAGAGGAAAACAGGATATTTATTATTATTATTATTATTATTATTATTATTATTATTATTATTATAAAAACAACAACAATAACAACAACACAGTATTCGGGTTTAACAGAGGATAGATTTATATTTATATAGGATATTTATATCCTACGAAAGTAGAATAATAATATATTTAATAATAATAATAATAATAATAATAATAATAATACCGAAACTGAAATCCAGCCTCTGACTAACACTATCCAAATCTTTAGCACAGATATCAACATGGAGTTTGGTTTGAACAAATGTTCGACAGTGACACTGAAGAAGGGGGAAATGGCCAAGCAGTAAGTCACCAGCCAGAGGCCTATAAATACCTGGGTATACTACAGCTGGACAGCATCAAAGATGAACATGTGAAAACAGTGGTCAGCAAAGAAGACATTCAAAGTAAGGCAGGATCAGATCCTATATTTTTTTCAGATCAGTTGACCTAATAGTTGTGATGGCAAATACCCCTCAATTTTGTTCTGTGGGCTCTTCAGAAGGTATAGCTTTAGTTTTACAAAATGCCGGAGTTTTCATGTAGGAAAGAGAACGGATATGGACTTGACCATATATGGGAAACAAAGACGGGTTTTGGTGCCAAAGATAAGTTTTTTGTGCAAGGGTGAAGTATCGGTCAAGAGACGTGCTGACTTTGCAGAGTCTCCAGCTGCATCAGCATCTTGTGATGTTTCCAAAAAGAGCTTGCTTATTGGGAAACGAAACTTAAAAGTGTATGATCTAATTGCTTAACATAAATGTAATATTGACAGCTCTCTTAACCAATGATTTAATCTTTGGGGCGGCTCTTAAAGCCGAACCCCTTTGTATGTATAAAAGAAACCCTAACCCTTTGTGCTGGGTGACTTCCCCCAGAGACGCCTTGTTGTGTCGGAAGTCAACTAGCAGCTGTTAAAATAAACTTTGATATTCTTGCTGAACCCAGTTGGCTGTTTTTCCTGACTCATCTGCGCTCGCAATCGAACTTGGTTTAAAGCTCTTGAGCATTGCTCAGGGGAAGAAAAAGGTCTGCTTCAAAGGGTCAGGAAAATTCTCAAAAGCAAGCTCAATGGAGGCAAGACCATCAAGGCCATCAACACCTGGGCCATACCTGTCATAAAATATACTGCTGGCATCATAAACTGGACGCAGGCAGAACTGGACAATTTGGACAGAAAAACAAGGAAACTCATGACCATTCATAATTCATTACATCCTTGCTCTATCTGCCTAGAAAGTCTGGGGGCAGAGGACTTTGACAAGTCAAACAAGCAGTCGAAGGAGAAAAACATGATGCCCTGGCAGGAGATGGAAAGGAAAGCCAAGAACCTGCTTTGATGGAAGTCAATAATCAGAAACTTCTCAAAGCACAGCAGACAAAGAACCAGTACAAGAAAACTGCACTCCAAACCAGAGCTGACAGCTGGCACAACAAAGCATGTCATGGGCAGTTCCTTGACAAAATTGAAGGAAAAGTGGACAAGGAGAAGACCTGGTGATGGCTAATCACGAATGGGACCCTGAAGAAGGAGACAGAAGAAGGCCTGATTCTTGCAGCCCAGGAGCAAGCCAGCAGAACCAATGCAGTTAAGGCCAGAAGTGAAAAATCAGCAGATGACCCCAAATGCAGACTGTGCAAGGAAGCGGAGGAAACCATGGATCGTATCCTCAGCTGCTGCAAGAAAATCACACAGACAGACTACAAACAGAGGCACAACTCTGTGGCCCAGATGAGTCACTGGAACTTATGTCACAAGGACCACCTGACAGCAGTCAAGAACTGGTAAAGGGATCATAAACCTGCAAAGGGAGTGGAAAAGGAAAACGCAAAAATACTGTGGGACTTTCGTATCCAGACTGACCAAGTTTTGGAACATAACACGCCAGACATCACAACTGCGGAAAAGAAAAAAGTCTGGATGATTGATGTCACGGTTGTCACCATTCCAGGTGACAGTCGCATTGAGGAAGAACAACAGGAGAAACTCAGCCGCTATCAAGACCTCAAAATCGAACGGCAAAGGCTCTGATTGCATAAACCAGTCCAGGTGGTTCCAGTGGTGATCGGCACACTGGGTGCTGTGCCAAAAGATCTCAGCTGGCATTTGGAAACAATAAAAATTGACAAAATCACGATCTGTCAACTGCAAAAGGCCACCTGACTTGGATCTGCGCACATAATTCGAAAATACATCACACAGTCCTAGATGCTTGGGAAGGGTTCGACGTGGGATTTTGTGATATGAAATCCAGCATAGAGATCTCATTTGCTGTGATATACGGTGTTTTTGTGTCAGTATAATAATAATCCCAGGCAACAGCAGGATTGAAGAGAAACAACTGGAAAAGCTGGCACAATACGAGGATTTAAAGATCGAACTGCAAAGACTCTGGCACAAACCAGTCAAGGCGGTCCCAGTGGGGATCGGCACACTGGGTGCAGTGCCTCAAGACCTTGGCCTGCACTTAAACACAATCGGCGCTGACAAGATTACCACCTGCCAGCTGCAAAAGGCCACCTTACTGGTATGTGCACGCATTATTCACCGATACATCACACAGTCCTAGGCACTTGGGAAGGGTCCAACATGTGATCCAACACAACAGCCAGCAGAGTGTCTGCTGTGGACTCGTCTTGTTGTGATTCTAATAATAAATAATAATAATAATAATAATAATAATAATAATAATCTTGGGAAGTGTCTGACGTGTGATCCAATACAACACCAGAGTGTCTGCTGTGGACCCCTCTTGTTGTGTTTCTAATAATAATAATAATAATAATAATAATAATTGGGAAATGTCCGACGTGTGATCCAATACAACAGCTAGCAGAGTGACCTTATTTGCTGTGGACTCATCTTGCAATGTTTCAAATAATGATACAGAATTCAGGTTTAAGAGAGGAAAGCAGAATGTAAATTTAAATATAATCATCCTCATCCACATTGGTATTTATTTACTCCACTTATATCCCGCTTTTCTCAGCCCTTAGGCGACTCAAAGCGGTTAACAGCAGCAATTTCAATGCCATTGGAACATTTAAAAACAATAGCATAACAACCATTAAACATCAATATGACAAATCATTCGCGTCTCATCAATAGAATCAGAATCCAATCTCATCATCTGTTATTCCGTGTTCCTGTAATCAATCACACTGCCTGATCGAATGCCTGTTCAAACCAGGTCTTCGCTTTCCTCCGAAATGCCAATAAGGAGGGGGCCAATCTGATATCTGTAGGAAGGGCGTTCCATAGCCGAGGGGCCACCACTGAGAAGGCCCTGTCTCTCGTCCCCGCCAGGCGTGCTTGTGATGCCGACGGGACCAAGAGCAGGGCCTCCCTAGTTGATCTTAATGTCAGATATTTACACTAGGTAGTCAGATATTTACACTAAGCAAATATAAATATGAATATTATCATCCTCATCTGCATTGGTAGTCAGATATTTGCACTCTGCTAAAGCAATATGGGATTGCAACCCAAATTTGCAACTGAATGCAAAGCCAATGCAAAGTGTGCAGTCGTGTGCAGCAAGCATCAATATGCAGCATGCTTCCACAGAATCACAGAGAGTGCGACTCCAGTTCTTTGGAGAGACACCCGAAATAGCTTCAAGGAAGCAACATACCCACAGAGCCATTGAGAGAACGGTGCATTTCTCCCTGCCCTCTGTTCTCGGTCCTAAGCCCTTCGGTCTGGCTGCAAGAGAGTTGCTAACTTTGCGCAGAAGCCTCTGGCGATGCGCTTTCAGGCAAGCAAAGCTCAGGGCAAAGTCCAAGCTCTTCTGAACAGGTCCGACCTCCATAATCCCATAATAATGGGGAGAAATGGAAGCCGGAACTTTCCCAAACAACATCGCACTGCAAGGTGAGAAAGGATGAGCTTCCTCCACATGCATTGGTTCACCCTTTCTAACCTTGCAGTGCACAGTCCATACATGTTGCAATGTTCTGACCACAGCAGGGCTTCCGTACCTTGTTCCTGGTTGTTTTGGTTCTATTTCTTAAATCAAACTCAACTTCCTCAAAGTGGCCGTAGATTTTGGAAAAGCCTGATGCCTCCCCACAGTGGAAGCAAAACCGTTTCCCCCTTCTGTGCCCCTAAGTGCATCATGCGCACTCATGCACATAAATGCACACGGACACACCCAGGAATGCAAACAAGGGTGCCAAGAGGCATCAGGGAGCGTCATGCGCAGCCTTTGGACCCAGAGGCTACTGAAGGCAAACTGACTCTTCCCACCTCCAAGAACGGAAGAATAGGAATCGCAGAGTCAGAAGGGTCCCCCAAAGGCCACCCAGTCCAACCCCCTTCTGCCAATGAGGAAGGCACAATCCAAGCCCTCCAGACAGATGGCCACCCAGACTCCTCCCGAGGAGGAGACTCACATTTCCCAGTTAAACACTTTCAAGAGTGGGAATGACATGCAACACTGATCTCCCACATTCCCAGACGTTGGATGCATAAATGCAGCTTGCATGACCAGAGTGGGACAAAGGATCGGGCTGTGGCGCAGCTAGTTAGTAGCCAGCTGCATTCAATCACTACTGACCGAAAGGTCATGAGTTTGAAGCCAGCCTGGGTTGGAGTGAGCTCCCGACCATTAATAGCCTAGCCTGCTGTTGACCTATGCAGCCTGAAAGACTGTTGCTTCTGGGTTATTGTAGGTTTTTTCGGGCTTTCTAGAGGCATTCTCTCCTGACGTTTCGCCTGCATCTATGGCAAGCATTCTCAGAGATAGTGAGGTAGTGAGGTCTGTTGGAACTAGGGAAAAGGGTTTATATATCTGTGGAATGACCAGGGTGGGACAAAGGACTCTTGTCTGCTGGAGCTAGGTGGGAATGTTTCAACTGACCACCTTGATTAGCATTTGATGGCCTGGCAGTTTTTTGGTGTGGCTTGTTAGTGCCTGGGGCAATCTTTTGTTGAGAGGTGATTAGATGTGCCTGATTGTTTCCCCTCTGTTGTTTTGCTGTTGTAATTTTAGAGTTTTTTTTAATACTGGTGGCCAGATTTTGTTCATTTTCATGGTTTCCTCCTTTCTGTTGAAATTGTCCACATGCTTCTTGTGGATTTCAATGGCTTCTCTGTGTCGCCTGACGTGGTGGTTGTGAGAGTGGTCTAGCATTTCTGTGTCCTCAAATCATATGCTGTGTCCAGGCTGGTTCATCAGGTGCTCTGCTATGGCTGACCTCTCTGGTTGAAGTAGTCTGCAGTGCCTTTCATGTTCCTTGATTCGTGTATTAAAAAACTCTAAAATTACAACAGCAAAACAACAGAGAGGAAACAATCTGGGACCGCTAATCACCTCTCAACAAAAGATTGCCCCAGGCACCAACAAGCCACACCAAACAACAGCCAGGCCATCAAATGCTAATCAAGGTGGTCAGTTGAAACATTTCCACCTAGCTCCAGCAGACAAGAGTCCTTTGTCTCACCCTGGTCATTCCACAGATATATAAACCCATTTTCCTAGTTCCAACAGACTCACTACCTCTGAGGATGCTTGCCATAGATGCAGGCAAAACGTCAGGAGAGAATGCTTCTAGAAAGCCCGAAAAAAAACCTACAACAACCCAGAAGCAACAGTCTTTCGGGCTGCATAGGTCAACAGCAAGCTAGACTATTAATGGTCGGGAGCTCACTCCAACCCAGGCTGGCTTCAAACTTATGGTCTTTCGGTCAGTAGTGACTGAATGCAGCTGGCTACTAACTAGCTACGCCACAGCCTGGCCCAATGCAACCTGTGTGTGTCTATTGATGCTCAAATGCATCATTTTGTGTCGACTGATGCTCAAGCGCATCCTCTGCATGCCTATTTCCCCTGACGCTTCCAGCCCTGCTCCAGCTAATGCACTCTCCCAATTAACAAGGAGTTCCTTGTGGCCACAAACAGCCTTTGTTTGCTTCTTCTTGTTTTTTTTATGGTGTCATAAATTAGTTAAATTAGTCTCCACACATAAAGTGGTACCTCAATTTTCTACTTGACTGAAGCAACGCTCTTTCAGGCTGCATAGGTCAACAGCAAGCTAGACTATTAATGGTCGGGAGCTCAGTCCAACCCAGGCTGGCTTCGAACTCATAACCTTTCGGTCAGTAGTGATTGAATGCAGTTGGCTACTAACTAGCTGTGCCACAGCCTGGTCCAATGCAACCTGTGTGTGTCTACTGATGCTCAAATGCATCCTCAACAGCAAGCTAGACTATTAATGGTCAGGAGCTCACTCTAACCCATGCTGGCTTCAAACTCATTACCTTTCGGTCAGTAGTGATTGAATGCAGCTGGCTACTAACTAGCTGCGCCACAGCCTGGTCCAATGCAACCCGTGTGTGTTTATTGATGCTCAAATGCATCCTCTGTATGTCTATTGATGCTCAAGCGCATCCTCTGTGTGCCTATTTCCCCTGACGCTTCCAGCCCTGCTCCAGCTAATGAACTCTCCCAATTAACAAGGAGTGCCTCGGGGCCACAAACAGCCTTTGTTTGCTTCCTCTTGCTTTGCAAGGTCAAGCGATTCATTCCATTTCTTGCAAAAAATAATACAACCCCCAAACAAAGCAAAACTTGGAGGGGGGGGGGGGGCGTCCTTGCTTTCAGCGCAGGATGCAAACCATTCTTTTGCTTGATTTGCATTAAATTAAAAAAATAAATCTTAATTCCCCCAATTAAAGCAACAACAACAAATTAAAGAAGCCAGACACTAGAATAACACATTTCCCGACCCTGATTAGGATAGGTCATGGATCCCAATGGCAGCCAAAGGGATCCCGCCTGAAGCGCCCTTGGCCTCAGAGCAGAATGCAATCCGTCCGGTTCTGTGCCAATTAATTAAGAATGCATTCCTTTCTGGAAGGATTAAGATAAACACGGTGGCGTTCCTAATCCCTTTCGGTGCCTCAGGTGAGTTCTTTTGCAGATGAGGCTGGCGTTTCACATTCAGTTCAAGGCCATGGAGGGTGGTTGTGCCCAGGCCGCTCTTGACCCCTTGACTGGACATCAATATCACTCCATCCATCCTTTTATTGAGATCCTCATCTTAGTTGGCAGTCTTGGACGACAGGGATTTTTTAATCCATGCTGATTGAAAGGGATCCAGATAAAACTGCAAAAATCAAGGTGGCCATCTGTCAGGAGGGCTTTGATGGTGTTGGCAGAAGTGGGTTAGACTGGATGGTCCTTGGGAAGCTTAGGGAGAACTGCCTGGCTGTAAGAAAAGCTGTTCAGCAGAGGAACTCTCTGCCTCTGAGTCTGGTGGAAGCTCCTTGCAGAGAGGCTGGGTGGCCATCTGTCAGGGAAGCTTTGAGTGTGCTTTTCTGCATGGCAGAAGGGGGTTGGACTCCATCCCCTCTCCAAGGGTCTTTTCAAACTCTAGGATTCCTGATTGTAAGGAGAGCTGTTCAGCAGTGGAACTCTCTGCCTCAGAGTCTACTGGAAGCTCCTTGCAGAGAGGCTGGATGTCCATCTGTCAGGGAAGCTTTGAATGTGCTTTTCTGCAAGGCAGAAGAAGGCTGGACTCAATCCCCTCTCCAAGGGTCTCTTCAAACTCTAGGATTCCTGACTGTAAGGAGAGCTGTTCAGCAGTGGAACTCTCTGCCTCAGAGTCTGCTGGAAGCTCCTTGCAGAGAGGCTGGGTGGCCATCTGTCAGGGATGCTTTGAGTGTGCTTTTCCTGCATGGCAGAAGGGGGTTGGACTCAATCCCCTCTCCAAGAGTTCCTGTCTGTAAGGAGAGTTGTTCAGCAGTGGAACTCTCTGCCTCAGAGTCTGCTGGAAGCTCCTTGCAGAGAGGCTGGGTGGCCATCTGTCAGGATAGCTTTGAATGTGCTTTTCTGCATTGCAGAATGAGGCTGGACTTGATCCCCTCTCCAAGGGTTCTTGACTGAAAGGAGAACCGTTCAGCAGTGGAACTCTCTGCCTCAGAGTCTGCTGGAAGCTCCTTGCAGAGAGGCTGGGTGGCCATCTGTCAGGGATGCTTTGAGTGTGCTTTTCCTGCATGGCAGAAGGGGGTTGGACTCAATCCCCTCTCCAAGAGTTCCTGACTGTAAGGAGAGTTGTTCAGCAGCGGAACTCTCTGCCTCAGAGTCTGCTGGAAGCTCCTTGCAAAGAGGCTGGATGTCCATCTGTCAGGGTAGCTTTGAGTGTGCTTTTCCTGCATGGCAGAAGGGGGTTGGACTTGATGGCTCTTTCCAAACTAACCCCCCCCCCCCCCCCCCCCCCCCCACAAGGTTTGTCGCACTTTCCAATTGTGTATTTGTGTATCTGTGTTTGTTTTTGTGCTGGCTCCACTGAGAATCCGCTTCCTCCGTTGCTTTGGGGCCACTTCCAGGGCAACCAGGACCGGAGGGACCAAAGGCACGGAATCTTGCTCTTCTGGAACCGGTTCTTGCGCTCCGTCTTCCGTTGCATCCTCCACAGCGCATGAGGGGTCAGAGGTCTCCTCAAGGCCACCCTTCCCTCTGATCTATTCTGATTCCTTATCAGTTTGAACCTTCAAGTGTTGCAAGGTTTTTCCTCCCTAATTTCCAACCATTTTCCTTCCCCAAAGTTGGAAACTGGGATTTATTTTCTGCATTCCTTCCAATGTCGAGGGGCAACCACTTCCTTTCCTTCAGTTTAGGCACTTCGGCTGCAGTAATTAATCCAGTGACCATTGCAAGGGTGTCCAGCCCCACCAGGTGACCAACAGCCTCACCTTTTGCTTTTCCTAGACAACAGCTCACACCTGCAATTGGATTTCCTAACATTTGCCTTGATGCCATTCATTCCAAATGTGAGTTCCTGAAACGCAAATGGAAGGCCTTCGGTCCCATGATTATATTGTTTTTATTACTACATAAAAATAATAAAAATAATAATTAATATAAT